GCAAGAGCATGAGAGGGGGAAGGGCAGAGGGAGAGGGATAAGCAGACTCCTGGCTGAGTGGGGAGCCCAATGCATGGCTGAATCCCAGGACCCTGGGATCATGACCTGATCCGAAGGCATGTCACTTAGTGGTGACTTAACTGACTGAGCCACCCAAATGCCCCTGGAGTAGTACTTTCAACTTTCTTCAAGAACTTTTCTTTCGCATTCTCAGCTTGGCTAACTGTATGGTGCAAGAGACGAGGTTTTGGCCTATCTTGGCCTTGGGCATGCCTTGCTTACTAAGCTTACTCATTCCTTCCTTTTGATTTAAAGTGAGATAAATGACTCTTCCTTTCACTTGAACACTTAGAGGCCATTGCAGGGTTTTAATTGGCCTAATTTCAATATTGTCGTGTCTTAACGGAATAGGGAGGCCTGAGAAAAGGGAGAGAGATAGGGAAACAGCCAGTTGGTGGAACAATCAGAACACACACATTTATCGATTAAGTTTGCCATTTTATATGGGCATGGTTTGTGGCACCCCATAACAATTACAATAGTAACATCAAAGATCACTGATCACAAATCACCATAACAGATGCAATAAGTAAAAAGTTTGAAGTGGGGTGCCTGGGTGGCTCAGTCGTTAGGTGTCTGCCTTCGGCTCAGGTCATGATCCCAGGGTCCTGGGATCAAGTCCTGCGTTGGGCTCCCTGCTCCTTGGGAGCCTGCTTCTCCCTCTGCCTCTCTCTCTCTGTCTTTCATGAATAAATAAATAAAATCTTTAAAAAAAAATAAAAAATAAAAAGTTTGAAGTGTTATGAGAATTGCCAAAATGTGACAAAAGACACAAAGTGAGTAAATACTGTTGGAAAAATGGCATTGATAGACTTGCTCAATGAAGGGTGGCAATGCTCAATGCAATTTATAAGATTTATAAAAAACTCAATAAAGTGAAGCACAATAAAACAAAATATGCCTGTACCAAGGAGTGTGATTCTTGAATCATATGCATAGTAAGAATATGCTTAGTCTCTTTTAAGAAGTTGCCAAGCTGGGACAAACACCAGGAGTATTCCACAGCCCACACGAAATCATGAAATAACTTGAAGCAAAGTTGAACCTTTCTGAACTGGAATGGGGTTTGAATGAAACTAGCAGTGAAAACTTGGTATGTGTACTGCCGGCCCGCCCTCACTGAGGTCAGCTCTGTGACTCTGGGTGTGGCCAGAGCCCCAGGCATCTTAGCTTCACAGAGCGGGGACAGACAGACTCAGGCTGCGGTTCCTGCTGTCACCATGGTGCAGCCCTGTGATGCCGTTGGCAGGTGGATGACCGGGATGCACCTGTCTGCCGCCACACCATCCTGTGAACTCTCGTTGGCAGGAGCTGGGGATGGGCCTCAGGAGCAATGTGCTGCATCAGGCTGCCTTGTATGCCAGAGGCTTCCCCGAAGATGCCGTGCAATTCACTCCCCACGTGTTTTTAGACCGAATTGGTCAAAGAAGGCTGAGTGTCCTGTTTACCAGCTAAAAGTTGCTGCAGCTGTTTGCAGGGACTTGGCCTTCTAGTTTTGTAATTAAACATTTTATGGATTTTTAAGATTTGTGACATTCAACTAATTTTCACATTTTTTGCAAAGTGAGGGTTTGATATGTATTTTAGATTTGTGTAATTCAAACTGATGTAAAATGCAATCATGCTATGTTAGGGAGGAGAAAGGAAACAGAAGGGGCAACCAGTGTAAGATGATAGCAAGTACTACAGCTTGGGGTTCCCTTCAAGCATGGCTGCTAATAAAAAGTGCCTTGAGATTTGCAAAAAAAAAAAAAGAAGAAGAAGAAGAAGAAGCTGCCAAGCTGTAACATTTTGCATTCCCACCAGCAATGAATGAGAGTTCCTATTGCTCAGTATCCCCAGCAACATTTGGTAATGTCAGTATTTTGATTTTTGCCATTTTAATAGGTGTATAGTGGTATGTCATTGTTGTTTTAATCTGCAATTCCCTAATGACATATGATGTTGAGCTTCTTTTCATATGCTTATTTGTCATTTGTATATCTTCTTTGGTAGGTGTCCATTCAGGTCTTTTGCCCATTTTTAGTTGGGTTGTTGGTTTTCTTATTGTTGAGTTTAAGAGTTCTTTGTATATTTTGGAAAACAGTCCTTTATCAGATATGTTTTTTTGCAAATATTTTCTCCTAGTCTATGGCTTGTCTTCTCATTCTTTTGATGGCTAATTGATTTTTGGCAATCTTTGCAAGCCAATTCAATGTGGGAAAAGAATAGTCTTTTCAACAAAACTGTGCTAGGACAACTGGTTATCCACATGCAAATGAATGAAGTTGGACCCTTACCTCACACCACACACATAAATTAACTCAAAAT